GAACAAAATGACGCACTGGTCATGTAAGAGCCGTTATTCTGATATAGACAATCCCCCACTATCGCATACCTTTGTTCTTACAATGATGAAAAATACGCAACATTGCAGTTTCCCCCTCCTATTCTGCATCTATGACGCAGAAGGAGAAGCTGAGATAACAATATGTAACAAAAACGCTATATGTGGCAATTATTATTATTATTACTAATGAGCTCATACACTGCGCTGTGCTGTGCAACAAGATTTTCCAAACGTATGCATGTTATGCATCAAGGACAATATATTATATAATAAAGCGGTAAAAACGGTAATATAGGACGGTAAAGAAACAGTAAAGAATGGTAAAAAAAAAAAAACGGTAATGAAACGGTAAAGAACGGTATGAAACGGTAAAAAACGGTATGAAACGGTAAAAAAAAACGGCATGAAACGGTAAAGAAACGGTAACGTAAACGGTAAAAACGGTATAAAACGGTAATGAAACGGTAAAGAAACGGTAAAGAAAGGTAAAAAAACGATAAAAACGGTAAAAAACGGTATGAAACGGTAAAAAAAAAAAAACGGTATGAAACGGTAACGTAAACGGTAAAAACGGTATAAAACGGTGATGAAACGGTAAAGAAACGGTAAAGAAACGGTAAAGAAACGGTAAAGAACGGTAAAAAAAACGGTAAAAACGGTAAAAAAAACGGTTTAGAAACGGTAATAAACGGTAAAGAACGAAAAAAACGGTTTAGAAACGGTAAAGAACGGTAAAGAAATGGTGATGAACGGTTAAAATGGTAATGAAACGGTAAAAATGGTTTAGAAACGATAAAAATGGTAACGAAACAGTTTAGAAACGGTAAAAAACGGTAAAGAATGGTTAAAAACAGTAAAAACGGTAGCATTATAATAAAAATTTATTATACATATCAAAGGTTAAACAATTCTTTCTGGCGCTGACACCACCACCAATTAAATATTTTCAGTACATTTTGTAACGCACAGTGTTTTGTATGATTATTACATCGTAAAATGTTGGTTGCATACAGTTTGTCCAATGACGCCATATCCTCGTAATCCGCATCCAGAGTCTCAACGATCACCTTTTCCCTCATATCAGCATCGAGGAGATTGGTCAGCCACTCTCGCTTCTCGTACCCCTTGACGTAGACGAGTTTGGATTCTTCGCTGGTTTCGCTGATCACAGCGTCCGTGATCAAACGTTTCGCTTTGTTGTACGGGACGATTCCATCCTTCCAATGCAGACCATGATGATTAGCCGTCAACCATGCTGCTTTCGATTTGTCAGCTCTCGTGAGAAGATGCCACGGCATAGGACTCGCAAAAACATAATGGGAGAGAACAGTTCCATTTCCAAGTATTGCTATCTCTTTTACGTGAAATCTTATTCCAACCGTAAATCCTTGCAGGTCCACAAATGTAGGCACGTTCATTTTTTGTTATTTTGCAAACAATGTTGGTGAGAGGACTGTATTCCACAATGCGATCGTGCAGAATGAGGCAGTAAGCTGTGGTATTCATTGGTATATTCTCCTTGCAGTCGAATTCAATTCTCACATCGACAGTGGCGCTCTTGATGGATTCGTTTTGTCGCGAACAATCAATGACCACACACGGACAATGAGTAAGAAATTGTATGGGATCGAACAACACATTGCCGTTGTCACATCCGTAATATGATTTGCGGAAACGTGCATACATATCGTACAGAACGGCGTATCTCTGTTTATCGAAATCCATATTCATATCGTCGTACGGATAAAATTCCGAATTGAGATAGAGTTTCACGTTAGTCAGCTTACAGTGGTCGAATATGGCAACATTGCCAGTGAGAGAATTCTTTCGACCAGTCTGCAGAGCAAAGATGACGTAACGCGGCTTTTCCAGCTGAGTCGCCGTCTTGACAGCCCACGAATGCTTGGTCGTGCTCTGTAG